CCTGTTCCCTCCAGGAGTATCCCCACCCCACCAGGTTTCTCTTCGCTATTCTGCCGGCCCGGGTGTCCTAGCAGCCTCGCTTTTTGGCGAAGCAATCTCTCAAAGGATATGATATGAATAAAACATCGATAACTTACAATTAGTATCTCTTAACTACTTGTATACAAATAATCTTTTTCTGAGAAATCGTTACTACACTATATAAGAATACTGAAAGGCATTATTACACTTTAATTTGCCCATTTAGAATCGTGAAAAATATTCAGAAACTATATTAGATATGTTAGTAAATTGCGTTCTAAAACATTTGTATGTATCTATTGTAAAGTCGTTTTTTTAATTCTTACTTTTTAGTCGGCAACATATTTATATTACGGTAGACGGTAATCAGGAGGTGTTTTATTGTATGTAATTTATGTTATGAGGTGAAAAGTATGTAAGCAGGGTGAAGAAGAAACAATTCAATCTAGTTCTAATGTTGTTTTCATTTCATGACTCTTTAAAAAACAAAACTGCAGAAAAAATAAAACATTCAATTATCAGAAAAACATGCAATCATCAGAATAGAAAATGAAAGGCTTTTGGAGAAATAATTTCTTTTTTGTGGTGTTTCAAAACCAGCTTAGTACATTTTGAATTTTTTATTATATTGGGTTTTTCTTCAACAGTTGTTTTATAAAAATCATTAAGAGATAAATTTTCTTCAAAATTAATAAAATCGTATGATGGAAGAAATCCAGCTCATGAAAGCTTTAGGGAAAAAATGGAAAATTGACTTGGCTTGGTTTTTGGAGTGCAGCGCATCTAAAATCAATATAATTGATTCAATTATAAATATAGTAAGTACTTATTACAATTTAGATAGTCATCCACAGGCTGTATAGTTAAACTAAAAAAAAAATCAATCTTGAATATCCAAATGACAATCTGGATAGATTTGAAACATTTGCTATAAAATGGACAAATATAATATTCAAGGCGTGTTAAAAGTTGAGTTATTATATAGTGAAGATCAAACTGATAATGGAATGTACTTGGATAGTAAGAACATTCACCACACATATCAAATACCTCATTGGCAAAATGATACCCTCTGTCAGGAATCGGTTTACATCATCTCGGTGGTCAGACTTATCAATTGAAAATAAACTGCTACTGGCTGGACTCTTTTTCAAATATTTTCCAATCCTACTTGGAGCTGGATAACAAGCCTCTTTGATTGTACTCTGGTTGAAAAAGAGAAAAAAAATATATATTATAATGGTGTGGAGATAGTTGACTGTAGATTCTAATTTCAGAAGACGTTAGTCGGGAGAATTTCCTTTCAACTTATCAGAGAATTTACTTTTTCTAATAAGTACTATTTCAATATCAACAAATATATTCATGAAGTTTCGTTCAGATGTGAAAGGCACTCGACTACTTAATCAATGTCCAAATATTTCAATTTTCGTAAATCACATTCCCTAAAATCTCCCCAATGTCCATAAGTAGGTTAGCAAGTATGAACGGATAGCGTAATATCCATAATCAAGTATATAATATATACAGTGGGCAAAAAAAAATATTAGTAGACCCTGTTTTTTGGCCGAAACGGTTCACTATATTTTTTTAAACTTGAAATAACAGCAGATATCAATTACAAACTTCATTTTGTGTTAATTTAATATAGAGTTTAAAGTCTCATACAACTTTTATAACATTAATATTTCAATAATTTGTTCACAAAAAAGTATTCGTACACTAGAGCAAGTATTAATAATACAATGTTTTTTATTATCAAAATAGTGTTTTAACGTTATATTAATAATCCTTTACTTCAGAGAGTTAAGCGATAAAACGGCACAAGCAATTGCTAGTTCAGTTCAGTACTAAGGAAAATTTCTTGGAAATGGGTCTATAAGTCCAAAGAATTGAATTCTCATCTTAAAGATGGCGTAAAACATATTCAATAGGGTTTAAGTTTGCAGAATATTGGAATAAAGTTCGGACTACCTCATATGACAGTTCATTACATTATAAACAAATTTAAAAACTTTATCAGTGGACAATAAACCCCGCCCAGAAGAAGAAGAAGAAGACGCTTGTTGACAGTGCGATGATCTTGTGAAATTGCATGTATAGTGGCAAAAAATCCCAAATTAAGTGCTTGAGAGGTTTCTGCTCACATCGCGTCAGCTTATGGAACATCTTTGACACCTCAAACCATGAGAAATCGACTACAAGAAACCTTTCATACCCAGACAAAAACAGCAAAAAAAAAGACTGGAGTTTGCCTGAGAACGTGTAAATAAACCATACGTTTCGGGGAAATGTATTTTTTTCAGATGAAAGCAAGAATAATATATTTGGATCTGATGGAAAAATATGTTTGGGGAGGAAAAAAGGAAAGGCATTTGAACACCAAAATCTACAACTCACAGTGAAGCATGGAGGTCGCAGTGTCATCATAGTTTGGGGCTGGAGTTTGTGAACTAGCCATTATTGAAGGGATTACGAACGCTGACAAATATGTTAATTTAAATAAAATTATGCGAAAGTTAGGAATAGAGGACACATATATGTTTCAGCAGGACAATCATGACAATGATCCCAAGACCACGGCCAATAAAACCAAAGAATGGCTGCTATTTAATGTTCGCAAAACACATCCAAAATCACCGTATCTTAATCCAATTGAAAATTCATGGGTGCTCCTGGAATTGTAAATCCGAAAATATTCTTTTTCTTCTCGGAGTGACTTAATAAACAATTTTAAGAAAGCTTGGGATTAAATTGAACCAGAGGAGACCAAGAGGCTCGTGGAATCGATGCCAAAAAGATCCAATGCTTTGATAACCGCGAAAGGATACTCTACAAAATATTAAATTAATTGAGACTGGTATTTATTATATTTTCTTTGGATTGGTTAAATTTACGAATATATATATATTTTTTTTTTGTTCATATTTCAATATTTTGATATTTTTCATACAACATGAGTTATAAAATTTTACTTTTTAGTACAATTAATGCAAAACGAAATGTCTAATTGTTATGTACAGTTGCTTCATGTTGAAAACATAAATAAAAAGATTTTCACCAAGAATAGATCATGTTCAAAAATAGGCAAATAAAGTACCTTCAAATTTTCTTTCTTCTCTTACTTGTTCAAATGTTTTTATGTTGAAGTATCAAGAAATCGTTTTGTCTTCAGTACTAGAAAACGTATCATCGCTTGAAACTCTTATAATGTCAACAACCGTAAAAATGTGTCATAAAAAAAAAAGGTTTTGGTGAATGACTCTATTTTCTATATACTGGTGATTGTTTAGGATATACATGACAATAAGAGCCTTAAAAAATTCATACCAACTGTTAATGACTCATTATGCAAATGTATGACGAACTTATGAGTAGTGCCCATTAGTGCTTTTCCCTATTTGAATCTTTTAAATTATATCCATTGTTTTTAAATGTGCTTGGAGCCTTTAGTAGTATAATAAAATAAATTATTTTAATATCCTCATGTTTATTTTGTTTAATTGTCTGTAGTCCTAGAATTTACGAAAGTTAATAACAATAACAAATATATTCCTAAAAATATCAATAATTAGTAGGCTCGTAAATTATTATAAAACAAGTTCAGATTCTTTTAAAGGACAATGACCTGCGTTCCAAAGATTTCACTTTCTACCAGGAAATATACATTCGAAATATTAAAATCTGCTTTATGCTTTTATAATCTTAACTTTTGAAGCAGTCTATTAAGTTGTATATTGCGAATAACTTGTTGAGGAAAAGAAAATGGTTCATAAAAAAAAAATGGAAAAATGAAATTTTCTTGGGATACTGGAATACATAAATTACACCTTAGGGGTTATAAAACACTATCACAAACTCATTTCACAAATAAACAATCTTTTTAACAAAAAAATGTAGTTTCAGAGAGGGGTATTCAGAAAGAGATCCATGACTAAAGTTAAGCGCCATAAAAATTTTTGAGAGAGAACATTTCGATGAAGTCTTGAATTTTTGAGGTGGACATATTTCGACGAGAAAAACATGGACCAGACCAGAACGAGTGTAATTACATATGATTTGCCATTTTCCTAATAACACTTTCGCTAACACTGTTTTTACGAAGAGTATATTCGATACCCAATAATCAATAAAAGCAATAATAATTAATAGTTGCGGTAATTATTTAAATGAGGACCTTACGGATTCGCTTGGTTCACAATCACAGTGTTCATGTAGTGTCGAATGCTTCCAGGTTTATCCGAAAGACAGTTTTCGCCGTTTCATGAACAAGTGTGACCGAAGTGATTGTGAACCACGTGTAACCTTAGTTGCTAACAATGAGATGAAATAGCTATTACTGTCATCTTTACACTGATTTTTTTTATTATTTTTGGATTACCCACTGAATAAATAAAATCGTAATTAATATTGATTTATAGGAAAACATGAAAAAAACAAAACAATTTTAATACAATTGAATATATGGTAATCACACAAATAATCGATCCGATGATCGTATTTGATCAGATCTCACGAATTACGGTTCCAATTCCGATCGGAATAATACAATGGTATACACGGTGGCATACGACGTCTGATCAGATGAATTACGGCTCTAATGTAGTCAAAGTCTTAAACCCAAATAATCTTAGATATCAACAGTATGATGAGAAAAATGCATGTCTATTTCAACAGTTACCTCTGTCGCCACAAAAACTAAGCAACTTATAGGTATGGTCATAAACTTAAGAATTATCCAACGGCCGCAAAAGAAAAAAATTATGGAGTACTTTAAAAAAAGATCCACAGGATTTTAATCTCAAGATTAACACATATTGACGATTTATAAGTTTTTATATTTATTATGTTTTCATGTTTTACTTTCGTCTTCTAGAAACGTTTTAAGTCTCCTTGACGACCTGTTTACCTGAGCGTTTCGTTACTGAAAGTTTAGACTTTTAGCTTTAGTGGTCTCTGTAAGAGTTTTAAGAGGATGAATGCTCAGTCCAATTCAAATGATATTCGCACATATTTCAAGATTTTTCAGACGCAAAGTCGTACTTTTCATAATTTTATTCTGTTCTATTGGTTATTTTATTCTTAATTTTGTCATCGAAGTATGAATAATTTATTATTTTCAATTAAAAACCTACTTCTCTTTAATTAATTAATATTTTCATTTCATAGCCACATTTTTCTTCTACAAGCGATATGGAAAATACCAATTTTATTAATTTTGACAAATTAATATGGCACTCTGATGATGAGCCAGCAGACAATTCTAGTGCTGTAATCACCTGTCGGAATTCTGTACAAGGAAAAAGTTTGGTAGTCGATGACAGAGGTATAACTTTCATAATATTTAATTTTCCTAACTCTTATGTATCACAGAAACAAGAGACGATTATAGGCAATATTACTTCTCTTTAGGTTATGTTTGCTCCAGGTTCCATGTCTTAGGGACTGGTTGTTGTGATCTTAAAGCAAAGAACGTTAGATATTCATGTGAAACCTGCAAAGGAAATGGATGTTGTAGCATTTATGAATTTTGCGTATCTTGTTGCCTTCAGCCCAACAAGGTTAGTCACGATGATTTCATTTTTTGATATTCATATATGATTTCATTATTATTTTATTTATTCTGGTGATGTGGATGAAATATAGATTTAGAAATAAAATCATTATTTTTTATAAAATGAATCCATAAATACTCCACATCACAGGCAGTTAAACTTGATTCTGGTCGCCATTAAAATTACTTTTTTAAGCAACTGTTAGCATAGAAACAGTACTCCCATCTAAAATACTGAGCCACAGGAGTGCTCAGACATTTTTGAGGGTGACAGATTTTACAGGGCTTAGAATTTTATAGAGAATTATATTTTTGTTGGATTTCAATTTAGAGAAACTTTCAAATGATCTAAGATTTTTACAACTCTACTTTAGCTTTTTTTTCTTTAATTACCCTCTATCTTGCCTTTTTCGACATACAGTGGTATACTCTACTTTAGCTGCTTTTAAGAAAAGAAGAGAAATAGAATTTTAGTGAAGGAACATCTTGCGCCATTGACCTTAGGGATGGGCACCCCCTGTTGGGCCAAATCCCGTCATAGGTTGTAATCTATCTTAATGGCTCTACAAATCTCAGTGAGTCCTGGCTTCCTTTATGTTGTAGTGGTTCAGATTTTTAAAAACATGTATAAACAAGTTTCAGCTGTCATTTTATATTTTTTACTAATACATATAAATATTCATATTTATTAGTAGTATTATAGTATATTATTAGTATTATGTTTTTGTATGTGTCTTAGAAAGAGTTGCTTCAAGGTGTTCTAAGAAGAGCACCATCAACATTTCATGTGGTGTTTGCATCAGTGACAGATCATTACGAACTATGCCTTGCGAAGTGTCGGACTAGTTCATTGAGCGTTCAGCATGAGAACTCTTACAGAGATCCAACTGCAAAACATTGCTTCACAGATGCTGTTTCATAGAAATGGTCAGATATAATTTTATTTTTAATTTATTTATTTGTGTTCTTTGAAATGTGTAATGCTGTTTTATGAACCATCTGTAGTAGTAAGGGCATGTTACTTAGGTATTACAATCTATGATGGCTGAAGAAGTTTTATTTTGTGAGATTTTTCCAAAATATTTGCTTTACTTTTTTCCTACATCCTCTCTTAGTTACCATTAAGTATTTATTTATATTAGTGTAGAGATGGTTGACCGTGATGATAATATGAGAAGGAGTTGGTCAGTGGGTGGGGTCAAATGAATACTATATATCAAAATAGTATTTTATTGTTTACGCCGATGTTCGACCCACTTTGTAGGTCTTCATCAGGGTGTGGTATCAGGCACTGCAGGAAACAGTTAAAAAAAAAGAAAAAATAGTGTCTAAAACCAAATGATAACCAGGTTTGTTGAACATATGGATTAAAATAATTCAGATACTATAAATTGGACCTGTATACTGTAAGCGCGGGAAATGTTCAACATTTCATCTTCTTTGTAATGAGCTATTATTTATAATTTATATTTCATATTATTAATCTCTCCTGGTTGATGTTTTCACTTATACCGTTGTGGTCTAAAGCACACACCCTTAGTTTTTTTCTATATTCTATGATTTACATTTATTCCTTATTGTGGATTTATTAAGTTCCAAATACTAACTGCGCTCCTTGCAATGCAAAATTAATATAATGGGGTGTGTGCCTCAGTGTAATACAGTATTTTTTTTAAACTCTCTGCAATGCGGTTTTAGCTTTAACTCCATTGGGAAACTTCATCTATGACCGAAAATTTTGTCAGACTAAACCAGTGAGTAAGGAACTTTAGTTTTTTTAATAAAGGAGGGAATTTTGCAACCTCTGTTTCTCCCTGTAACTCTCCTTTCAATTAATCTTTAAACTCATTACATACTTATAAAAAAATTACATAGTTGAAAACTGTTTGTTGCTGATCCTAACAACATTATGAGTAGTTGTGAGTATGTCAGTTATTTATGATATTGTAATTAATAATGATAAAAAGATGATTGTATTCTATAGTAAACAGAATACAGATTTGGCTTCAAGGAAAACTTATCTTTATGCTTATTATAGTGCTTTTAAACTTAATGTTAAGACTTCAAATCAAAATATTTACGGATCATGAAGCAGCAATTACAGAAATGCTAAATTATTCCCTAATATTAAAAGAATCTTGATAAAAACTATATTTTTTGTTTCAGATTTTATCTACATGAAGAATTTGTTGGAAATATTGAAAATCTATTTGTCTTCCCCTAGTGATATGTGCATGCTAATAACGTGTGTATGATATTTATTTTTACACATAACTTTGTTATTTTATTTATAAGTTGACTAGTATTTTAATAACATAATTGAAGAATCTCAAACAATCATTTTAGCCTCTCATAATATGATCATCCATCTTAGTCCTTGTTGAGAAACAGAGGTAAATTAAGCGAAATTACCTATTGATCTTTCCCATTCCTTTCGACACCAGACATTACAAAAAAACCTACAATAACCACAGCGGTAGAGGAATGCTCAATATCAAATCGCCATCTTATTTATTTACGTCAAACATTCACTGTTAACGAATATTTCACTTCCTCTGGCTGCAACATTAATGTTTCAGAAGGGAGGTGGTTGCTAGATCATCTACTCTTACATAATTTTAATGGAACTTTCTGGTCACCAACATCAAAAGGGTTCAGCAGATTTTTGTGATGTGACAGTCTCCCTCACATTCATCATTCATAGCATATCATTTTGGATTTAAAGAGTTCCCCTTTCTTTAGTGCACTCTCCACTATGCGGATGACAATGACTTAACATGTAATATTTTTTTCTTAAAATTTGTTTTAAGAAAAGTTGTTTTGTTCTGTTATCGGATTCCCTGTTAATATTTATTGTTGAATGTCTCCTTTTTTTGTTTTTTTAACTGCTAATTTTATTAAATGAGTTTTCAATTCATTATCTTCCATTTTGAAAAATGAAATACATGTGATATTGAACAGTGTACAACCATGAATTTAATTCTGGTGATAGTTTTTCAACACAGGTCTATTCTCAGTATTGCTATAGTTAGCTGTTATGTACCAACTACCACAGGCGGGTCTGACAGGGAGGGGAGGGGTAAGGGGACTTTCGGGCTGAAGCTCCTCCCCTCAAAATGGTAAAATATAATCATGTTTTATAGAAAAAAATATTGAAAACTTTCTCTTAAAGTATTGTTCTTATAATTACATTTAATGGGACTTCATGAACCACTTAAACACCATTTCATATAGACATTTAATTTCTATCTTTTTTTTTCAAATTAATTATTTTTTTATGTATATATATATATATATATATATATATATATATATATATATATATATATATATATATATATATATATAAGTTAAGCGTCGTCGGACTTAAGAAATAAAAAAAAGAAGGAAAAGGGAAAAGATGTAACATACACGACTTCTGAAATAACACTGCTTTATTCGTTCCATAAGCCTCCTTATATACACTTAGCCTGTTTATTTACATTACCAGATAGTATTAAGGCTGATACCGCCAGTCTCCGGTCTTTATCTCCCCCCCACCAGTTTACGAACAGGATTTTCGGAAACTTAAATATTGCTAGATCGGAGCCCACGGTGACCAGCCTTAACACTTTACAATTGGTTTTACAGTATATCCTTAAAAGAAAATAAAATAGTTCCACTCAACTGGAAAAATAATAAATAAAGAAGAAATAATTAAAAACACTGAAACTAAACACAGCACTTTAGAACTCCTACCACTTGAGAACTCCTAACAACAACAAAAAAAAACACAATTTCCTCTATACATGAAATAATACAACAAAAAAAAAATCTTTTACAACTTGTTTTGTTTTGACAGCCACAAAAAACCATATTTCTCTGTTTTATATACAGCGGTGAGGGTACTACGAATCCGTAGGTCTATGTCCCGACTCTATCATTGGGAGCTTTAATTGTTCGATATGAACGGTTCTCCTCTTTCTGGGCTCATTCACGCTCTCAATAGTTACCAGGTTATGCTCCCTAATAACAACCACTCTGAATGGACCCTCGTACCGTAGCAATTGTTTCCCTCTGTTGGTTCCCAATTTCCGGTAAACTATTGTTCCTATTTTTAGTTCCCCCATTTGGTCGCGAACCTGTACATTCTGCCTTTCCACCCGCTTCTGCTTTTCCCGCTTAATTCTCGCCGTTATCTTTCCCCATGTTTTCTCTACCTCTACCCTATTGCTGAGAATTTGATCCACTAACGGTTCGGTAAGCGTAGTTTCCCCATAATCCCGCCTTGGCCTGCGCATCCCGAATAGAACTTCCATGGGTGAAAACCCCGTTACGGAGTGGATCGAGTGGTTATAGGCTGTTACCGCTTTCCTCATTGCCACATCCGGCTCCAACCCTTTTTCACCCTGATATACACGGACGTGGTCGCTTAACGTACTGTGCAGCCGTTCAATACCGCCTCTACCTTTAGGATGTCCTGGGGTATTATAATGCCACGCAATTTCCAATCGCTTCACCTCCTCCCTAATCGCGGCATTGTCGAACTCCCTACCACCGTCCGAAGTAATCCTCTCGGGGACCCCATAGAACTGCACCCAGGTTTGTAGGGCTTCCGCAACTGCATTGGCTGACTTCTCCATCACTTGGTATGCCATCGCCACCTTGCTGAATATGTCGATTACCGTGACCCACTTAAACCCTTTCCAGGTAAACGTGTCAATCTGAAGGTCCTGTAGCGGCATATTCCCTGTAGGTGTCTCCTCCTGAACTCCTCTGGGGGGGTGTCGATCGTATTTTGTGCGCATGCATATCTCGCATTTCCCAATGACTTCCTGGATGGACCTCTTCATGCCCCACCAGAAATACTTCCGACGCAATGCCTGCAGCGTCTCATTAACGCCTCGGTGATTGGTTTTCCCCTGGTGATATGCTACTGTGATTGCTTGCTGCTGCTCTTCGTCCTGTACCGTCTCCACAGCATACTTGCACCGGATGAATGTCCTGTCCACGCCTATTCGCTCGGACCTCCACATTCGCTTGATCTTATCCCATACCGTATTGTTTCCTACGTATAGGTAGTGCGTTTTACCCGCTTCCGAGGCATCCCTCAGTGCCGTACAGATTTGTTCTTCGCTGACCCCGGGCTGCGACCAAATGACGCGGATCCTACTTCTCCCGTACCTTCTGAAATCGATCTTCATGATTCCGGTTGTTCGTGTCTTCCAAATCACCTGACGGTGTTTGTCGTTCACGATCTCCTCTATTTCTTCCATCTCCGCTGCCCTTTCTTCCGCTGAGCTCTCCTCTTCTGGGGAATCTCCCCTGTCCTCAATCCCTGCGGTGTCATTTGCCCCTTCGCCATCGGGAGTCCATTCCCTCAAGAATTGGCGCACGTCCTGCGATGGTCCTCCCCTGTCCTCTTCAACCGCGTTGATCATGATGGCCCTCGAGAGCCAGTCTGCCACCACGTTTTCCTTTCCCGGCTTATACACCACCTCTATGTTGTATTGGCTTAGGATCTCCTTCCATCTTGTGACCCTAGCTGAGGTTTCCTTGAGTTTTCCTACCCACTGGAGGGGTTTGTGGTCGGTATGGACTCGAAATTTTCTCCCGAATACGTATGGCCTGAAATGGTCGATAGCCCATACTATCGCGAGTAGCTCCCTCTCCAAAGCGCTGTACCTTGATTCCGCACCCGTAAGCCGACGGCTCGCGTATGCTATCGGTCGTTCACCCTCACTCCCCCCCTGGGACAAAACGGCCCCTAGCGCGTATTCACTCGCATCAGTGGTTATATTAAAAAGCTTCTCGAAATCCGGGAACGCTAACACCGGCTCCGTCGGCAACCTATTCATACATTTTCGAATGTTATTCACCATCTCTGGTGTCACCACAATCTTCGCGCCTTTCTTCAACAAATTGTTAATGGGTACCAAATAC